GGCATTACTGTCCTGTTAGGTTAGCAGTCTGTCTGTGAAGAAGGTAGCAGGGAGGGTCACTCAGTGGGATATGTTGGGTTTAGCCCTTAGCACAGGTGAACCCAGGCCTTCAAGGACATAAAGCAGTGCTGGGTCTGCTGACTTGACATCAACACCATCTCCTGAAAGCTTTGTCACTTCTGCAGGGGAGAGAAAGATACAATTTCCCCAACCCAAACCCATTTGTGGAGGATGACATGGATAAGAATGAGATTGCCTCTGTTGCTTACCGGTATGTCAGCTGTGATGGGAGTGTGGCCAGATTGGGGCACAGACTCTATCCTGTGTTGTCTGGGGTGGTCCATCCAAAGCAGCGGATGTTATAGAGAAAGAATCTTGCTTTCCTTGTAGTTACCGCAGGTGGAAACTTGGAGATGATATTGACCTTATTGTCCGCTGTGAACACGATGGCGTCATGACTGGAGCCAATGGGGAAGTGTCCTTCATCAACATCAAAACGCTGAATGAGTGGGACTCCAGGGTGAGCGCCATCACAGCTATCTCCCTGTTGTGTGTAGTGGGGTGGGCTGGAGGGAGATGGCCAGCCTTTAAGTGCTCACAGAGCCAAGTGGGTGGGGGCTGTACTTTCTTCATCCACATAAGTCCCTGCTGACAGAGAACAGCCTAAGATAAGAGGTTTCTGCTTTTATCACCTTTTGTCTATTCATTCTGGCCACCATTGTCTCCATCTCTCTACACATCTGACCTTGACCTCATCTTTTCTTGTGAAACAACTCTCTCTGACCTCTTTCTGTATATACTCAGCCTCACTGCTACCTTGTGATCCCTTTGTCCAGCTCTGCCATTACTAGCCTCAAAAGACTCTTAAGATGGCAGCAGTTCTCAACCTGTGGGCCGTGATCACTTTGGAAGGTTGCATATCAGATATCTACATTACGATTTGTAACAGCGAAATTACAGTTATGAAGTAGCAATGGAATGATTTTGTTGTTGGGGGTCACCACAATGTGAATATTAGAGGGTTGCAACATTAGGAAGGTTGAGAACCTCTGCTCTAAGAGCTGGACCAAACCTGAGTGCACACACAAGCTCTCTTTCCATTGTACACCTGTGGGCAGTCCACCAGGACGATCAGGTCAGGCATCATTCTTTCTCCCTGGCTTTGACGCTCTGTTGAAGTGAGGGGCAGGGCTGTTGCCTCTGTACAGGATAAAGAATACTGGCAAGGACAACTGTAGGGCCCAGCCAGCCTGTGTTGGTTAGCTTGCCATCAAAATGTGTCTCAGAAAACCATTCTCTTGTGGGGCCAATGGCCTCCACCCAGACTTCTACTGTAGCATCTGTCTTTCCTGATGTGTTCTGAAATCACACATCCCTACCTCACTCACAAGTGAGATTGGAGCTTTAGGGTAAATCCCCAAGCAGCTCTTGTCCCAGAGTACCTTATACTTCAAAAACACATGAAAAGAAACCTGTGCCCTAAAACAGCACATACAACTGGAGTGTGGTAGGCAGACATCTGGCAAGTTGTAGCTCTCTGTTGAGATGTCATGGGTGGCAGTGACTGTCCCTAGAACTGAGTGTGTCCCAGAAGAGTGTCTGCTGGAAGCTGGCTATAGGAGTTCAGAAGTCAGATCACTGCTGTGGTACAGCTGCAGTTCCTGCTCCTTGTCAGCACTCAGGTATTCCTTCCCCCAGAGTCCATTATCTTCTTACTCCGTTTGGGAGTCTGCTAAGGCACTCTGTCCTTGAGCCTGTTGTCTGGTGTCTTAACTTCTGTCTGACTTGTCCACTCTGTTCAGTTCATCTCCACCTGTGATTGTCCCCAGGGTGTTGGCAGGGTTCTTTAGTGTCATGGCACTCTCTAGGGGTTAACAGCATATTTCCAAGTTTTAAGGGAAAGGTAGAATCTGTCGTACTAATTTTTGGTGGGGACCTCCCTGCCCTGTGACCTTGGACTGCCCCATTCCCCACATCTGGAAATCTGTATGAAGCATCAGGTGCTGGGCTCTTGCCCTCAACCCCACCTGAGGCTCACCCACCATGGCACAGTGTGAAGCCCCTTTTCACACCACATATGAATATGCCTCTGACTCAGGCATATTCTTCACTCCCTAGTGGGCCCGTCTTCAGAGGACGGGGCCCTGAGGCCTTGTGGCGGGTCCCGCCTCACCCAGTAACCAGCTTTCCTTCTGCAGCATTGTAACGGCGTTGACTGGCGGCAGAAGTTGGACTCTCAGCGCGGGGCTGTCATTGCCACTGAGCTGAAGAACAACAGCTACAAGTTAGCACGGTGGACCTGCTGTGCTTTGCTAGCTGGATCTGAGTACCTGAAGCTCGGGTGAGACTGCTGTGCCCCGGAACCGGCACCAGCTTGGGCCAAAGGCTACTTGCCTCCTTTGCTTTGGATAAAGCAGCAAACCAGGCATTGCCATCTCTGTACTGCCCAATATGACTCCCCATCCTCTTCGCCCACAGGTATGTGTCCCGGTACCATGTAAAGGACTCCTCACGTCATGTCATCCTGGGTACCCAGCAGTTTAAGCCCAATGAGTTTGCCAGCCAGATCAACCTGAGCATAGAGAACGCCTGGGGCATCCTACGTTGTGTCATTGACATCTGCATGAAGCTGGAGGAGGGCAAATATCTCATCCTCAAGGACCCCAACAAGCAAGTCATCCGAGTCTACAGCTTGCCTGATGGCACCTTCAGCTCTGAGGAGGACGAAGAGGATGAGGAAGAAGAAGAGGAGGAAGAGGAAGGTGGGCAGAGTGGGCCTCTGAGGGCTGATGAGAGAGCCAAGCTAGTGCTGTGGTCACCTTCACCTTGGCAGCATTTCCTGGCACTTCCTGTGGGGGTGGCACTCCCAGTACCCAAAGGAGACTAGGGAGAACAGCTAGAGAAGGCCCTGGGCAGCTGTTGAGAGGAAGCAAGGCCTTGTGGATCAATTACATGACTGCAAAGTCTGGCTGGCAAATACAGAAAGTTGTTCAGCCCTAGAAGGGTCAGGAGGGCTCAGCCAAGAGGAGGTCTCCCTTTAGCACTCAGGTTCCTCAGAGGTACAGAGGGAAAAGATACAATGTATCACATGGTGAGGCTCACTTCTCTTACTGTTCTTTTCTTTCAGAGGAAGAAACTTAAGTGAGTCGGCTTGATACACTAGTGTTCCACCCAGCTGCGCTTGGGCAGCATGTGTGTGGCTCCTACTTTCTGTGGCAGATGGAATAAAGTTTAAGTCCGTTTGGTTTCTTTTCCTTCATTTTGTGCTTCCATTGTAATCTGCTGCTGTTCATTGGCTCCATCACTGCTGGAGCATTGTGAAAACTGCATTCCCTGGAGGGATGAAGGCCTTGAGTGTTTTGTTTCAGAGCTCTGTGAGGAGTCCTCTAGCCCTACCATGCATGACCCAACTGGTGCCTTGAAGACGGCTTTGTAGTCTGCTGGGTGGCAATTCTAATGGTTTACAAGGTTGGCTTGGGCTGGAGAAAGAGTGTCAAGCCAGTCTGCACAAAGCAGTGTGTCACATAACAACTGTATGTGTTTAAGGCTGTGTAGACTATTCTGAGTGCTGTTTTGAACACTTTAATAATTATCCTCCCTGGGTAATGGCCCCACGCCTTCCACAAATGCCTAACCTGCCCCTTCAGAACTGCAATGTGGGTGGAAGCAGCTATGTAGATAAACAGGTTCAGGGTTAAGATTGCTTTCCTAAAGATGGAGGTTATAGCAACACAATTGAACTTAAGAATCCAGCAAAGGGTGCTTGGCTTTACCATCCAGGTATTGGGAAGCAGAGCAGAAAACTGGGGAGTTTCTGAAAGTTTCACTGTAGCCCAGGAAAGTAATTTGCAACATCCTTGGCTACAAGTGGTGTGGTAAGTGTCTTGGCCTAATCCACCAGCAAGAGCTCCTGTAGCTCTACCCTATGGTTAGAAACCCTGTACCTAGCTGCAGCCCTCTTCTTGGCTTGAGGACTGGGTCCTGACCAGCATTTCATTTCCCTCACCAAACCAACTTGCAGGTTCTAGTTCCCTCCAGTGCCCATATGTCCTGTCCACAGCAGCTATGAAACCTTATTTTGGGTGAGGTACTGTGTCTAGCCAGGACAGCTCCAGACTAAACTGCCTATAGGCTGAGGTCTCCACAGTGACCACAAAATAGTTTGTGTCTGCCCCTAGGGGACTTTTCTTGTTTTGGTCCAAGGTGTAACAAAAACAGCTGCATTCCTGGGTGTGTTTTCACCAGGACAATCAGAAAGGTGTAACTTTCTAAGCAAATTAGGAGAACAAGTGGGCAGTTCCAAAGCAAGCCTCTAGAAGCAGCTCCAGCCATGCAAAGCTGCAGCAAAGTCCTTCCCAGCTCTGTTCCCTAAGAACCCTCAGCTTTGATTCACCACAGTCTGCATTGCCCTGTTCTTCGTACAGTCACACACTATTCTAACCAGGGAAGTAACTCACCCCAAGGAGGCCAGCCTGGACATTCAGATCCTCTTCCTCCTTCCATTCTCCTCTGCACAGGGTTTCAATTTGAGGCTTTGGTTTTAGCTCTTACGCAAACGTTTTTCACTTGTAAACGTTTATTGACCAGTCAGTTACAAAGTTCTGGGAATTGCTTCCTTTGCCCACTCCAACAACTAGACTAGACTAGTCAACAACTAGACTAGTCAAGTCTGGCAAATAATGGGCTCATTTGTCATGGCCCCGTTACTCTTGTCATCAGTCCCATAAAACTAACAGTCTTCGGCTACAGAAATAAAGGGATATGAATGCCAAGATTTTCTCCAAGAATCTCTCATCTCTGACACGTGGATTAGTACAGATCAAAAGCAGAGGCCTGGTGTTTAGTCACAAACCTGCTGTTCCCCCGGGTGCCTCTACCCTCAGGAACAGCGCTCACAGCACGTGCACACAACTCCTGCCCTGGCCACCCCACCGGTCCCGGCGTGCTGCGCGTGGCGCACGTGACCCCACCCCCTGCCATTGGCTAGGAGGGGGAGGGGCGTGGCCGCCGTGGCAGGAGCCAGCCAGCGGCTTCCCTCCACTGCAGCCTGAGGTGGGAGCATCGCTGGGCCACCGCGGCCGCGTGCGGGTCAGGAGCGCAGCCTGGGCACTGCGCACGCGCCAGAAGCAGAGCAGAGGTTGCGGCAGGTGTGCCGGGCATCCTCATGTGATCCAGGGGGCTGGGGCGGGGCCTTAGAGGCCACACCTCCTTCAGGCCCCCTTCAGTGGAGGGTGAGTGTATCTCTGAAGGGTCCTATCTGGGGAGGCCCCCCAAAATGTAGGGCGCATCCAGAATGCGTGGAAATTGAGGAAACTGCCTCTTCCCTGGGGTGGAAGTTACCATGACAATAGGGGAGTCTGGCGCCCTGGGAAAGAAGACTGTGGAGATGAGCTGTGGGGGTTCAGGATTCCTATGGGCCCTTGATCCCACCTAGGGGGGGATGAAGGCATGATAGATGAGTCCCTAGGTCCTGGGGTTCAATCCTGGCCCCGCCCCAGGTCCCTCAGGTTGCCCCAGGTTTCTGGTTCCTCCGGAAAGCCGGCTGTCACCTGCTGCCAGCTACGAGGTGCGAGGTACCCCCTCTGCTGTGCTGCAGGATGGGTCCCTTGGGGCTGCTGCTGGCCCTGGCCCTGCACCTGGTGGTGTGCACCCATCCGCACCGGGACTACTGCGTGCTGGGCGCGGGTCCCGCCGGCCTGCAGATGGCCGCCCTCCTTCAGCAGGCCGGCAGGGACTACGAGGTGTTCGAACGCGAGTCAGCGCCTGGCAGCTTTTTCACACGATACCCGCGCCACCGCAAGCTCATCAGCATCAACAAGCGGCACACAGGCAAGGCCAACGCCGAGTTCAACCTCCGCCACGACTGGAACTCTCTGCTCAGCGACGACCCACACCTGCTCTTCAAACACTACTCGAAGTCTTACTTCCCAGATGCCAGCGACATGGTGCACTACCTGGGTGACTTCGCGAAGTGCCTGGGGCTCCGCGTGCTATATAATACAAACATCACCCACGTGGCTCTGAACAAAGATCCACATGCCTGGAATGGCCATTACTTCATCCTGACCGACCAGAATAGCCAGGCTTACCAGTGCAGGTAAGGACTCTGTTGCTGGAGCTGGGCCTCACCAAGAATGGGTTCAGTGCTGAGGTTTAGTACAGCCAGCATGTCTTAAGGTATGTCCTTACAAAGCTGTGGCTGAGTATGTTTGGAAAATTCTAGCAGTTTATCCTCTAGCATTTGCCAGGCTTCATTGCCTTCTCTATGATCCTCTGGTATTGGGTACTGCATGTAAAGCATAGCTTGTACCCACAAACCCTTGCAGACAGGTCCAGTCTTTTGACACTGACAGGGCAACACTACATTGTCATCTTCAAGATTCAAGTTCAAAAACCATGCAGTCAAGTCACAAAACACACACAAACTTACATAAGCCTCATGTTTTAAATAAGTGTTTTAAATAAGCTTTCCAGGTATATTGGATCACATTCACAGCAGCTATCGTGGACCCTGTGTGGCGTAGAGATCATGGGTTGAACACATCTGATAGTTTTCTAAAATAAGTATCCCCAAAACCCATGCCTAGAAAAGCAGAGTGAAGTGTCCAGCCAGCATTAGACACTGACCAGTAGAATTTTAGAACAGAACCAGAGCAGAAGCCCAATAAACACTGCTTCCAGATGCCGATATTACCTTGCTTTGGCATGGGAGACATGTGGGCACCTCAAACTTGTTCAATCCTCACAAGGGACCTAGAAAAGATGTTCCCTAATACCCATTTGGCAGGTGCAGATCTGAGGCTCAGTGACGCTGAACACCATGCTGTCGCACCACTAACAGTGGGGCTACATTAGGGCTGAGATTTTGCTGAGACCTAAGCCTGTGTTCTTTCTGATATTCCAGGCTTCCTTGCTGGCTTTCAGCCTCACTCCTGGCTCCAGACAAGTGTATAACTACTGTTCATCTGTTCTTGCAACCCAGAGAAGAATGGGGTGGTAGGGGAGAGATGTCCTGATTGAGACTCTTAAATTTTAGATAATTTTGCTAGGGTAGAAGGGAGTGAAGAGCAGAGAAAACAAGGGTGGGAAAACAAGAGTCTGTTCCCTGTATGTGACCCTTCAGTGGATGAGTTCTACATGGAAACTACCCTATAGTCAAACTATTCTGCAGCCAGCAAAATCCAGATACCCAGCTCCCACCACTCCACCACCATAATCCTCACCAGTGTAAAGAGCGGAGCTGGGCATGATGGTGCACATGCCTGTAACCCCAGCATTTGGGAGACTGAGACAAGAGGATTGCCAGATCCAAGGCTAGCCTGGGCTCTATATATCAAGCCCATATCTTAACAGCAGGACTTTGGAGTCAGGCTCTTCTGTACTCAGATGGCAGCTGAACTGCTTTGAAGAGTTCTGATGCCCTGACCCACCATGCCCTCTGTCTTCTCACCTGTGAAATGAGCCAGGACACCAGCCAAGGAGTGTACAAGATCCAAGGGTAGATAAGATGATAGGATAAACACACCAGCAGAGTGTGGGTAGATATGTGTGCCTGGCCTGCAAGTCAGGAGAGGAGCTTCAAGCCAGGCTGAAGTGCTCCCCCCCCCCGCCAGGGGAGCAATGGGAGAACTGACCTCAATGCTGTATTCAAACCTAGGGGAAATGTTTTTGGTTTATGATAACATCCATGAGCAAACTTAATCCCCAGGTAGGGCATCCTCCCAGTAAAACAATGAAAGAGTGTGGCTAGCTTGGAGAGAGGCACACTGGGATGAGTCAGTAAATGGAAGAGGGAGGAAATGGGCAAATATACTAGTGGACTTGTCTTTGAGGAAGCTAGGAGAGCCACACTGAGGACAGCTGACCAACTAAGGCATCTTTCTTTGTCCCCACTTGCAGTGTCCTGCTTGTAGCCACTGGTTTGTCAGTTCCCAAACTGGTTGACTTCCCTGGCTCTGAACATGTAGAGGGTTATGAGTCTGTATCTGTGGACCCTGAAGACTTTGTGGGTCAGAATGTGCTGATCCTGGGCCGTGGGAACTCAGCCTTCGAGACAGCAGAAAACATCCTGGGGGTCACAAACTTTGTCCACATGCTGAGCCGCTCCCGGGTTCGGCTCTCCTGGGCCACCCACTATGTTGGAGATGTCAGGTATGCTACATCCCTTCTTGTGTGTTCCATACTATAAATCCTATACCAGGCTGTTTCTTGATACTATAAGAAAATGTCTGAGGCAGGGTTCATGATTTCAGGCGCTAAGTCGAGCAGTACATTGCTCTCTCTAACAAGCATTCACCAGCACCTACCTCATAGCAGATGGTGTCACAGCAGCAGGCACATATGCCAGAGAAAAGGGCTGCAGAACAAGCCAGGAAGCTAGAACAAGGAAGAGCCCAGGCTCCCTTCCTCTATAGCAACCCTCTACCTGGAACTAACTGGGGATCACACCAGAACTGCCCTAATCTCTTCAAGGACATTACCCCAGTGAGCTGCCACTAGGTTCCACCTCTTAAGGATCTATACCACCAGGGCCTGGGGATATAGCTCAGTTGGTAGAGTGCTCAACTCCCATGTACTAAAGCCCTGGGTTCAATCCCCAGGTACACGCAAGCAAGGTGTGGTGACACACACCGGTAGTCTCAACTCATCACTCAGGTGGTGGAGACTGGAGGATCACAGTTCAAGGTCATCCTTGGCTACTTAGTGAATTTGAGGCCAGTTTGGGCTACATGGAATCTTATCTTTACCAAAAGAAAAAAGGAGAAGAGAACAGTGCACCACCTCCCAGTGCTACTTCTATGGGGATTAAGCTTCCCTTGGGTTCAAAACCTAGAAAGCCCTAATTGAGGGAGCTTCCCCATCCTCGGTTGCATTAGGCAGCCCTCCTGGGCTTTCCTTCTTTCCTCTCTTGCCTGCTCGTGGTTCCCAGAGCCATCAACAATGGCCTGCTGGACACCTACCAGCTGAAGTCACTAGATGGACTCCTGGAGTCAGACCTGGAATATCTGGCCCTCGTGAAGGACAGCAAGGGCAAGTTCCACATCACCCTCAAATTCTTCCTGGAGGAGAACAACAGCAGCCAGAGTGCAGACTCCATTCCCCTCCCCCAGGATGACAATGACAACTTTGCCATGCGGGTGGCCTATGACCGTGTCATCCGCTGCCTGGGCTGGAAGTTCGACTTCTCCATTTTCAACCAGTGAGTCCAGTTGGGATGGAGGTAGGGATCCCTCACCAACACCTTCAGACCTCCCTGGGCACTCAGTAGACTTCAGAAGAGGGAGAATGGAGGAGGGTGCCAAAGGTCTTGTCCCCAGCAACTCTAATTCCTAACAACCTTCTCCACATGCAGGTCTCTCAGACTCTCCTCAGGGACTGAGTTCAGCAAGAAGTACCCACTGATCAGAGCTAGCTATGAGTCCAAAGGAAGCCGGGGTCTCTTTATCCTTGGGACTGCTAGCCACTCAGTGGATTACCGGAAATCTGCTGGCGGCTTCATCCATGGATTCCGATACACAGGTGAGGCTGGCTGAAGGTCCATTATCCCCGGCTCCCTGCTTCCAAAAGCATCAAAAGGATGTTTTCATGGTCTGGGGATATGTCTAGAAAAAGCATAGCAGTAGCTATCTCTAAGGGTAGCCTGTGACATGCTTAGTCCCATGCAGTTTGAATTGACATATGTTCATGGGAATGGGTGGTCTCACACATGCCACCTTCACAAGGCTAAGTGTGTCCCCTAGTGTGTGGCCCCATGAAGCAGCTCATGAAGCATGCAGGAACACATCCGTGAAAAATTCCAATTGATTATGTCAATTCTTTTGTAAAATTTTCACTGCTAAACATGTTACTCTTCTACTATCTTGATAATGTTTACCTGTAAAATACAAAAAAAAAAATTTTTTTTTGAGTAATTTGGGTGCTGAGGACATAGCTCAGTGGCAGAGCACTCACATAGAGTGCCTGAGGCCCTGTGTTAGAGTCTCAGTACTATGAGGAGGAGGAGGATTTGATTTATTGCATGAGAATAATCCCCAACCAGAAACTGATGCTTTGTGATGGTAAGGATAAACAGGAAACAAAAATGAAGGGGAGGAATAAATTACCATGTTAAGTGTATTCTAAAGGCTAAGCACACATATCCCTGCAGTACCACCCGCACTCTTCGTGTGTGTGTGTGTGTGTGTGTGTGTGTGTGTGTGTGTGTGTGGTGCAAGTGCAATGGCATGCATGCAGAGGTCAGAAGATAACTTGCAGGAGTCAGAGTTCTTTCACTATGAGTTCTGGGGCTCAAACTCAGTTCTTCAGCTTGCATAACAAATGCTTTTACCCACTGAGCCATCTGGCCAGCACAGCCTTTGCTTTCTCGGAGGAAGCATCTGAGGATCAGAGAGATCTGTGTGCTTGATTTGGTTTCTGGTTTTCAGAGAGCCGCCTTTCCTGCCCTTTCTCCCCTCTATGGAGGAAGCAATGGACTGGAGCAGCTGAGTGAGCTTTTTAGCTGTTACCCACATTTTTTCAGGGTCGGGTGCTACATCAGCTTGGTATGGATTGTGCTTGCAGTGTTAGCTTTGCACTCAGTGGATGGAAGACTCGGTCTTACAATCCTCCTTACCAGGACTCCAGTAGAAAGCTTTCACTCAGGGCCTCAGTGTTCTGTGTGTCCTCCACCTCCAGCCCAGGGTGCACAGTGCTGAGGCCAGAGAAAGAAAGATGACCTGTAAGGAGTAGCAGTAATGAAGCATTTGTGTTAGGATCAGGGTATGGTAGCCCAGGCTAGCCTCAAACTCGCAACCCTCCTGCCTCAGCTTCCCTGGTTCTGAGATTACAGATATGCACTGCCACACCTGGTTTGTGTTTTGTTTCCTTGGTGAAGACAAGACAGATAATGTTCATGCAAAGAATTGTGTGCTAATTGTAGAAATGTTGAAAGAAAAAAAAAAACACAAAATAGCACAAAGAAAGGACTCTGTAATCACTTATTGGGGGCACACATGTGCCACAGCATGTGTCAAGATCAGAGGACAGCCTATAGGAGTCGGTTTTCTCCCTCTGCCAAATAGGACCTGGGGTTTGCACTCAGGCTTGAAGGCAGGTGTTTGTCTTTACCTCCCAAGCCATCTCACTAGCCTAGTGGGTTTGTGTGTGTGTGTGTGTGTGTGTGTGTGTGTGTGTGTGTGTGTGTGTGTGTGTGTGTGTGACATAAAAAGTAAGAAGTAGTAGCAAACTCAGCAGAGACTGATGGATCCTCATGCCCTCCTGCATGGGGAGACTTCTGCCCCCACCTACAGGTTAGAGTGGGCACTGTAGGGCCGACTGAGCTGCCTCTGCTAGCTGATGCTTTAGAATGGCAGTCCCTGGCTTTCCTGGCAGGTGACAACCCTGGAGACCAGCTGTCAACCCCCTGGTCTGCATCTTTGGAAGCACAAAAGTGTTGGTGGGACATCCTACTTGGCAGCCTCACATCTCCTCAAATGGTAGCATCCAGTGGGTACCATATTGCCTGGCTACTATGGCCTTGAGTTCAAATCCTCCTTTTCCATTTGGTTTGATGACTTGTGTCACCTTAGGACTAGGTTTTATATTTCCTTACCCTCTCCAGCCTGGGCAACTTAGACCCTGCCTCAAAGTAAAAAAGAGATAAGAATGTAACTGAGTGACAGAGCAGTTGTCTAACATGTACAAGGCTCCAGGTTCCTTCCACAGTACTGAAAACAATGGGGGAAACCTTGCTATTCTCTGAACCTTGATCTTTCATGACTTCTCTTCAGGCCCTGGGAAGTCCTGTGCCTCAGCATGCAGTCACCTGCTCTATACAGGTCTTGCCTGTATACGAGGTGCCAAGTGTGGTCTCCATCCCAGGCTCCTCTCAGTCTCCTCTAGCTTCAGTTCCTACACCTTGCGAACTCAGCTTGACCACTATTTCCTCCAGGGAACCAGAGGCCTGAACAGGCCCACCATGGCCCCTTTCTTATGAATACATGGCTTGTGGCACAACCTCATTGCCTTGAGGTGTTTCATTAACTTTGGAAGAACAAGTGTCTGCGTTGGGCCATTCCATGACAGGGTTTAAAAAAAAAAAGCACCAAATGTAAAGAAAAACCACTTTGCAGAAAAAAAATCTCAGAACAAGACAGGGACAGGTAGCTTTGGGCTGAAAAAGAAAGCAGCCACTGTGTCCATGGGGCTTTAGATAGAAATGGGAGGTGGAAAGCTCTGTGTCTGGGTTAGATGCGCCCAGCAGTTGGCAGGGAAATTTCCATGTTCAGATGGCCTCAAGCAAGGGTGGACCATTCAGACTGAATCCAACCACCCATACTTGGCCTGATACCCAAGAGATGGAATGGAGGAGGGTCCCTGATTGTGTGTGGCTATGAAGAAAGAATATTTATCATCCGGCCTTTTATACACAGCTCTCACTGCCACTGTTCCCCAGGCCTGGGCCTCCCTCCAGTGAGCCAAGATAAAATCTTGGCCCTTCCTCCCTCTGGCCATTTCAGTGCGTGCTGTCCACCGGCTTCTGGAGCATCGGCACCATGGCATCTCTTGGCCATCCACAGAGCACCCCATCACACAGCTGACCAGCTCCATCATTCGGCGTGTGAACGAGGCTTCTGGGCTGTACCAAATGTTCAGTGTGCTGGCTGACATCATCCTGTTGAAGGAGTGAGTGGCCCTTCCCATTCCATCTCCCCCAACCCCATCTTACCCATATACCCTGCCCCTTGCTTCTGGTGCCGAGTGGCCCAGTTGTTTCTGATGCAAAGGAGGCCTGCAGAGGCTAAATCTTCCTGGCAAGAAATTCAGTGAGGTAAATACCACAAGGTGTGCTGTGGATTTCTTACTCCGTGGTTTGGAAAGTTAGTTAAGCTCTGTGCTTTCTTGCCTTATCTGCAAAATGAACATAACTCCCTTGCAGCATTGAAGGGTGAAGAGTCCCCTCAGGCAAGGACCAGCTTGGCCCTTTTAGATGAAGGGATTACTGGCAAATCACAGGACACACAAAGCCTAAGGACACAGTGCAGGACATGTGAGGACACAGCAAGGGAGGACAGGTGGTGAGACATAGAGGAAGACCCCTGAGTCAGAGGACATGCCCTGATCCAAAACCTTGACCTCTGAACATGAAGTTCAAGGACACAGGAAGTCCAGGAGCTCAGCACCCCACCTTGCTTCATCCTCAGAACACAGTCCATGAGTGCCAGAGCTGTCTAGATCAAGGTGCTCTTGGCAGGACCCAGTGCTTAGTCAGTATCCAGGCCTGTCACCCATACTGGCCCAGCAGCCTCCTACCACAGTCAGTGTGCCCTCAATGCAGCCACCAGCCATCCTTTAAAAGGAAAGTCACACTGTTGTCCTTGAGCCCCAACTCCCCACAGGCCAACAGCTCCCCTTCCCCATCCACTTAAACCCACAATCACCACCCCCTGCCTCCTTTACTGTGCCCCATGACCTCCTTGACCCCCTTTCGCTTGTTTCTACGTGGCAAGCTTCTCCCCACTTTGCCTTCTAGAATCTGCCAGAATGCATAGCTGCCACAGTGATATCATAGGGTGAGAGACTCCTGGTTAGTCCATACCACTGTACCTGTGGAGAGCTGGATGTACCCGCCCACTCCCAGTGAGCCCACATCCCTCCTTGGTTCTGAGTTCCCCTAGCTTCCCACCCACAGGGATGCTACAGCATTTGAGTACTTGGAGGAGTTCCCCATGCAGATGCTGGCCCAGCTAGAGACACTCACAGGGAGGACAGCACGCCATGGGCTCTTTGTCATCAACATGGAATATGGCAAAAATTTCTCTGGACCTGAGAAGGACGTCTTCTATTACGACCGGTCTGTGGCACACATAGAAGATGCCTGGCGTTCTAACTTCCTTCACCCTGTCATCTACTACTACAGACACCTCCCCACTGGTGAGCTGGTTTCCATCCTCCCTGAGCTCAGTCTCTTCCATATAGCAGTCATCACAAGGCCATACATAACTTCTGCAGCTGATAGAGGGCATCCCAGGGGACCTACATAAGCCATGCATGATCTCTGGGCACCATGTAGAGAAAGGGGTGCTGTTATGTTGTGGTGTCTAAAAGTGAGGGTAGGTGCTGTAGCTGCGTATTAAGAAAAATGAATGAGGGCAGGTAATATGACTGGATGGGTAGAGACTCTTACCATGGAAGACCTGAGTTTAATCCCTGGAATCCACATAAATGTGGAAGAAGAGAACTGACTCTCCAAAATGATCCTCTGACCTCCACACAGGCTCTGTGGCATGTGTGCCTGTACAAACAATACAATAATAAACCAGACAAAGACTAAGTAGGCCAGCAGAGTACAGAAGTGCCAGGCAAAATTCCTGGTACAGTCATCACAGGAGTGTGACCTTGGCCATTTTACTTAACCTCTTTGAACTTTGCTCCCTGGTCAATAAAATGGGATGGTGATAGTTATTTCATACAGGATTGCAGAAGGGTATACACAAAATGCCAGTAGCACTAGGGCACTGCCTAGGCCCCATGTCTTTCAATTCAGAGCTTGAAGGGCGTTGGGTTAAAGAGGGTGCTCCAGGCAGGTGCCTGTCACCCCAGCGCTGGGGATGCTGTGGCAGGTTTGCCACAAACCCAATGCCAGCCTAGGCTGTACAGTGAGCTCCTGTCTCAGAACTGAGTGTAGTGAAACACCCCTCTGTAATCCCAGCATTTGGGAAATAGAGGCAGGAGGTCAGCCTGGGCTATTTAAGACCTTGTCTCAAAAGAAGAACGAGATGGCCCAGCTGGGGATTATTCCCAGTGGCAAAGGTAGCTTCAACAGGTAGAAGGCAGAGTGTGTAAAGAGCAGATATGTAGTAGGCTGCCCAAATACTAGCCAGCTAGGATTGGTCACCTCCTAGAATCTAGTTTCTAGGGATGGTCAGGTGTTGGTCCAGCGGCCTGTGGGCTGGGCTCTTAGAGGGCAGGGTCCACAGCAGTGGGAAGTGAGCCTAGATGATCCCCATGTAGTCATGGTTCCCATGCTGCTCTCAAACCACAGGCAGCAGGTCTGCTTCCTCTTCCTCCTTCAACATGAAGGTGGCTAGTGGCGAAGCTGACCACAGCCTGGGAGGAGCTCTCCAGGAAGGCCACCATGAGAGCAGGGGGAGGTGCTGGTATGAAGGGCTTTGATGCCTCACTCCTCTCACAGAACAAGATATGCGGTTCAGGCCTGCACAGTGGCCCCTGCCTCGGCCCATAGCCATCCATCACATAGTGGAGGACTTCCTGACTGACTGGACAGCTCCAGTGGGGCACATCCTCCCCCTGAGGCGCTTCCTGGAAAACTGTCTGGACACGGATTTGCGAAGCTTCTATGCAGGTACCCAAGTTCATTCCCAAGAGGGTGGGGTGGATGCCTTAATGTTAGAGTGCTAGTATGCATGGGTTTGAGCCCTAGCACAGGAAAAGGGAAGGGAGGAAAGGGGAATAAAAAGAAGACAGGAGAATATGTATTGAATAGTTAGAGACTATCAAAATTGTACAATTTTTCAAAAGATGCAAATAAAACTAATGGAGATAAAATATTCTAGAAATGAGAAGCTTGGTATAAGGAGCTGGTATAGTGCATTAGACAGAGGTGAAGAGAGAATCAGTGAATTGGAAGGCAGATATGACAGCTGAATGAGGGACCTAAGGCAAGAGCTCAAATGAGGTAGAGGAGAAAGTGATAGAAATAAGCCAATATTGTTATCCTTTTAAACACCTGTGCTTTTTTCTATAATTGAGAGAATGTGTAAGACACCTGTCAAATCTGCAATACTATTCATACCATGTTAAGTTGGAGAGTGACTCTAGCCAAGTCAGTGAACATCCTGCTGTATGCTGAGTCTACTTTGAAATGATGGTTTGGGAGCTGATTTGCTACTGCATGACATCCGGCCCTGATCATCTAAGTGTCTTCCTATCTTGGTTAGCCCATAGAGCCAGAGCTGAACCCCTTTGTATTTCTAGCAGTCTGTGAGCAGCCAACCTTGCTCATATGCTGATCCCTGAAATGCCTAGAAAAGAGAGCCCTCAGCTCCAAACTGCCTTCCCATCCCCCAAGGCTTCAAGAGTCCACAAAAGTCCAGTGGTATGTTCCCCACCCCAAGTCATCCCACTGATGTATCCTCCCAGCTTTGTTACTGTCCTGAGCTAGGATGAATCCTTACAGAAGAAGGCCAGCTGCTGTTTAACCATTGCTGTTGGTTCTGGCCTCAGCCTCCTCTGAAAGTTGGGAACCCTGCGTCCTACAGAGGGGTAATGTCATCAGAAAGTCATGCTGGCTAAATGGTCACATGGCTACCCTTGCATCTGTTCTCTTCCTTGGCAAGACCTCTGTACTTGGTATCAGAGGTGAAGCAAGAAAGGATATTGTGGAGCCCTTTTTGGCCCATTCCCCATGTAACCCTCATCTTTCTTTGTATAACATCCCCCTCCTTTTCACAAGAACTAAAGAGAATGGAGAAAGTGAAAAGTCTTCCCCCAAAGATGTAGAAAACCCCCAGTGAATGCCTTAATAAACAGAACCAAATTTCATACTTATAGCTATAATGGTTTAGGATTACTCACTTCAGGGGATCCCATACTGAAATCTCACTATAGACTTGGTGATTTCTGGCACAACACTCTGATGTCAGAATATGAATGTGTGTTGGTGGTGGTGGTGGTGGTGGTGTGTGTGTGTGTGTGTGTGTGTGTTATGTATTTCTCCACAAATTTAATGCCTGTTTGTTTTACATGATATTTATCATTGCCACATGGATTTCTTTTTCCATCTCATGAGTTCCAAGATAGAAGGTACATTTTGCCATAGCATTTAACAACTGCACATAAGATTTGTGTGTAGGGGGGGTTCTCTTTGTAAGGCTTTCTCTATTCTATATTCTAAATGGAACTCTTAGCTTTTCACTTAGAGGAAATGCATTATGATGGCTTCCCTTTGCAGAGCCTAATTGCTGAATCTCTGTTCTTAAACTTTGAAGCCATTATTAAACAAGATAAAATGTTTATTTTGCCTACATTTGCAAATTACAATCCATCATGAATGGAGGGCAGGGACCTGGAGGCAAGACGTGAAGCAGAGGCCATGAAGAAACACCCTTACTGGCTTGTGCTCCCCATAGCTTACTCACAATCCAGCAATCCAGGACCACCTGCCCAGGGATGAACCACCCACCCTTCAATTTGGCCAGCATGGTGGCACCTGCTTTTGATCCCAGCACTGGGGAGGCAGAGGCAGATAGATTTTGAGTTTGAAACCAGCCTTGTCTACAGAGTAAGTTTCAGGATAACCAGGGATGTGTAAAGAGACCCTGTCTTTTTTTTTTTTTAAGGTTTCCTCTTCCCATGCTAGTATGTGCATGTGCAACATCTCTTGATTCTCTCCTTCCACTATGTGGTTCCAGTACTCAAACTCAGGTCATCAAACTCGGCAGCAAACACCTTTACTATTGAGCCATCTTACCAGCCCATGAAAAGGACTTTGTACATAGTATTTGTAGCTCAGATATTGTTACAGGCAGTTCTGAGCTAAAAAAGTGAGGCTAACTGCTGATCTCCCTCCACACAAAAGCCAGTTTCCAGAAGAACAGCTGGGAGTCAGCTCTGGAGAGATGGCTCCTGGCCTCTGGATCCATGCAAAGTTCTGGGACCAATCATTTCTATGGTTTGTTTCATTTTGGTATCCTGACCCATGACCTCATCAGGTCATGTGTGAGACACCAGGAAAGGCAGCTGTCTTAGGGTTTCTAATGGCTGTGAAGAGACACAATGACCAAAGAAATTCTTATAAAGGAAAACATTATTGGAGACTTGCTTACAGTTCAGAGATTTAGTCTGTTACTGTCACATCAGGAAACAAGGTGGCATTCAGGCAGACATGGTGCTGGAGAAGGAGCTGAGAGTTCTACATCTGGATCCTCAGACAACAGGAAGTGAACTGAGTGTCACACTGAGCATAGCTTGAGCAAAAAAAGACCTCCATGCCCACCCCAACACTTCCTCCAACAAAGTCACACCTCCTAATAGTGCCACTCTGTATGAGCTTATGGGAGCAATTACATTCAAACTACCACAGCAGCTTAGGTTGGAAAGCTGGAAGGGACTGTGCAGGGCCGCTGATGAGCACTTCCCCAGGTCCCCAGCATTGCCCACTCCTCTCCATGCTTCTCTCACCTCCTGACACCTTCTTTTGCTTTTGTATAGAGTCCTGTTTCCTGTTCACCCTCACACGCCAGAGGCTGCCCCCCTTTTGTCAGCAGGGGTACCTGAAGATGCAGGGACTTTCAAGTACCAAGAGCCTTCAGCAACATGGTGTGGAAAGCAGGCTCCTGCAGGACTACACATCCATGAATGACAGCAGCAGGTGGCTTGGTAACCACCCCTCAGCCGGTCAGTCCCTTGACAGCAACAAGGAGGAACTCTGAGCATCCTCTCCTGGACTATGGAGGCTGGTGCCCCCCCAGGGCCCTTTTCCCAGGCTCTCTCCCACCTTTCAAGCTTCTCAGGACCATCATAGAGATAACAGACAATGTGACAGCACTCTATAGAGTGCTGAAGGCACAATCACGTGGTGGCGTCCCTTGTGCTGGCCCCCCTGAGTGTTAGATGCAAGGTTAAGTGGAGGGTATCTTCTGCCAGGTATGAGATGCCTTCCACAGCCAGCTTGTATCCAACTTGGAGAATCACTAAGCACCATTCTGGCCTGGTGTGTCTGCTGCTAGGACCACTCTCCTTTCCCTTCTGGTTCACTCTGAAGATAAGCTTGGGTCTACCTGGGGACAGCTGGCAGCTGAAACCCCTCAATTCCATATCAAGCATGTTAGAATGAAAGCTTGAGGTCTTCACCTGTGGGGTAGACAGTTGGGATCTCTGCTCCCCAACTCAGAAGCATCAACCATATCTTAGGGTCCTCATCCAGGAGGGCCTGCTCCATGCTGCCCTCTCTTTCCACACTGCCCTCCCCTCCCTGGCACTGGCTCTCAGAAGAACCCCAGTCACAGGCCAAGAGCACTGGTATAGGACAGGGACAGCAAACTCCTGCAAGGCTGTCTGCCCAGCTGGCTTCTCAGGAGCAGGGTACCTCAGAGCTACCCTGTCCCCAGGATCACACTCCCAGGGATCAGCAACCTCTGTGTCCCTTTTCCACATTGCTGTCTAACACCCTGAGCCTCATCTTCTTTGAGACCTGCCTGGGCAGGTTTAAGGTGTTGCTACACATGCTGCCTTGGGCATGGAAATGTTGATGGCTCCTGGCTGCCTTGATGTTACTCTCCTCTTCCTTGCCTATCCTCACCAGAGTCCACATTCAGCCAATAGATTTGTCTCACTGAGGAATAAGCCATGAGGAAAGCATGGCCCACAAAGGCAGCAGGGTGATCATGTGATTTCCCATAACTCCAGAGCACAGGTACTGTTTCTCACCATCCCTCTGTCATTCTTCATGGGGGCCACTCAGATGTCCAGGGACATGTCAGCCCAAAGCCCCTCCTGAGAGTGTTCTCTTCCCCACAGAAGAATCTTGCCTGGGTGCAAGCCCTCTTAACCACCTGACCTGCCTGCAGCCACCTTCCTCTCCAGTGCTTACCAGGCTCTAACAGGGCAATCCAACAACCTCATGTCACCAGGAGGAGCTGTATGCCCCTGTACCTACTTAGGGAAGTTTACACAGGGCCAAACCCAACTGAATCATCTCCCTAAGCCAGGATGTCGGAGTTACCATATTTCACCCAGGTTGATCGGCAAGCCAAACTGGGACCCTGCCATCTCACCCTTTTCCAATGCATTTTTAAATGAGTCTTTGATTTATTGCCACCCCATGAAATCAAATCCTGTTCCTCACATCTCGCTCTCCACTCACTAAGGCTGGCTGAGCCAATTTTTCAATGCCTTAACAAGTAGCTGGCTGACACCCTTGTGTATGACATCTGCTGCTTCCTCTCATCTGCCAGATGGTTGATTCCATCAAATATCAGGCAGCCTTATTTGTTTTCAACACGGAGGATTCTGTTCTTGCTCAGTTGACTAGGGATGGCTTCTACTTTTTTCACTGATAGGATTTAACCATGTCCTGACCTAGTACACATTGCAAAGCCCAGCCTGCTCTTGGACTCCTGGTCATTATCCTGCCTCAGCCTTCCAAGTGTTGGGATTACAAGCTTGAGCCACATAAACTTTTTTTAAGATTTAGTCTTAATTATGTGTACTTGTTTGTGTCTGTGTGTGGTATGTACATAAGTGCAAAAGCTCAGAGGCAGAAGAGGGTGTGAGTTACAGGAGGTTGTCGGCCAGCATATGTGGAGACTGAGAACTGAGCTCAAGTCCTGTGGAAGAACAGAAGTGCTGAGCCAATCCCTCTGGGACCACTCCTCCATAACTATTTAAAGAAAAGATTGAAAACAAGGCAAGCTGGATGTGGTATACACCAATATCCCAGCACTAGCATGGTCAAGGCAGTTCAAACCCAGTCTGGGCTACATGGAGAATTCCAGAACAGTATAGGCAACTTAACAAGATCCCTGTCTCAAAAGAGAAATTTTAAAAAAGAAAATCTAGGCTGGGTGTGGTGGTACATGCCTTTAATCTCAGCACTCCCAAGGCATAGGCTGGAATATCGCCTGTGAGTGAGTTCAAGGTTGACCTGGCAAGTTCTAGGCCAGCTAGAGCTGCATAATGAGACCCTGTCCCAAAATAAATAAAAATTTTTGAGAGGCATGAACAAAACTAATTATGGTGAAGGGACTGATTGAAATAGGTGAGGAATACTAAGTAACTTTTCATGATCTTCTCTTACATGGTGTAGGGAAGGGCTGATGTGCGTGCCTACACAGGTGGCAACCAGGTGAGATGGAGCAGCCACTGCAGCTGTGAAAATAGGAAACCACAGGTCGTCAGCAGTGGCCCTGCTGGGGCCGTGGGACAAGGGTCTCTTTCCCTCTTGTGATCAAATTTGTGATTATTTTTCAAATATGATTATATGCTACTGAAATAAAAATCATTTATTTTTAAACCATTCCTGCTCTTGAATTTTGGGATTGCTGGGAAAGAGTGGACATGGGAACCCTTGCAAGAGGGTCCAGGGTGTGACTGGAGTGGGCTACCCTAGCTGGGATCACTAGAGGCAAGGAGCACCATGCATCAAGAAAGAAGCATACTCAGGCAGGGTATGGGGAATGAACCTGTGAGTGACCCTAGCACCTGGGAAATAGGAGATAGAGACTAGAGGAACAAAAGCTCAAGGTCACCCTGGAATACACAGACCTTGTCTTTAAGAAAAGAAGAAACACTTTCTTTCATCCCAGTCCTCAGGAGGCACGGTCAGAAACGGGGGGGGGGGGGGGGGTTAATGAGATCCTGTCTCAAAACAAATAAACAAAATAAATAAATTGGGTTGTCCAGGCTAAAGGAAGTGAGCAGTTCAGCCACGCACCACTCACATGGAGTCTCTGAAGTGATGAATGAGCACAGTATGGCCATCTTTGGAAACATCTTCTCCCAAATAAATGATAGGAAATCAGAGACAAAACTCCTCTGGAAGAGACTCCCCAGTACTGATCTCTAATGCCTTGGATAGCCCCAATCCCTTCTGACTGATAAAAGTGGTTGTTGTGGAGATTTATTTAGCCAATAGCTTTGGGGTACCAGCTCTTTGGTGCTATGTGTGGACTGATAGTGGAGAGAAGGATCTCACTCTTTTGTGTGGTGGTTAAAGATCTGATTGCACCTTCCAGCACCCCTGGGCAGAAGACCATGGCAGCTCTCTACCCAAATGTAATTAGTGAGTGTTCCCCAAATAAATATTTGTTGTCCCTTTATTTTGGGCTCTTGTGGACTCCCATAGCATTTGTTTACAAGTAGGGGTGTCCCTGAAGCCCTGGAAAGCAGTGGGCTAAAAAGTGAATTTGTGGTCTGAGGATGTGGATCAGTTGCCTATAATGGACACAACTGAAATCCCAGTTCTTTCAGGAGGCAGAAGCAGGAGGATCAGAAAGTCAAGGTTGCACTCGGCCATGTAGCGAGTTTGAGGCTAACCCAGGATACATTACATGATATTTTTTAAAAGCCCACATAAGCTTGGTAAAATCAGTAGTTCAAGGCCAACCTCAGTCACATCTGAGTTTGAAGCCACCTTAAACTACACAAGACCTACCTCAAACACACAAGAAACCATGTGGCCCAGTAATGAGACCTGCCTGCAACCACGGGTGCCCTTAAACATGGACCTTAGGGAAACCAGTAAGTATAACACCTGCATTCATAATTAAGTCCCAGTCACCAATAATGCACTGGTGTCACATTAAGGGAAGAAACCAAAGCAGGTCCCCTCAGTGTCACTTAATCTATTTGAAGTCTCTACTTCAGGCTCCCTGTGTCTTCTGTCCTCTGTCTGTCTGTTGTATGAGTCTGGAGCTGTGCCTGCCTGAAGGCTGTCTCGTGAATCTGTCTCTCTGTCTGTGTCTCTCTGAGTATGTCTGAGAGTGTGTCTTTGCCCCCTCCTTTACTGAACAGCACAGAAAGCTGTTCAATGGGGAAGGAGTGGAACACTATAGAAATCTTGAACAGTTTTACAAGGGATTAAGTCACTGGCTCCAACAGACACCAAATGACCCAGACAACAAACACTTCTACAAACATCATTGTTTATTAAGCAATATCTGTATGATGCAGTCAACATTTATGAATATTTTTATATGACTGCTTCCTCCATATATTTGCTGTTTCCAGAAAATGATTATAGTAACACACATGCACTCCTCTTGGATCAGGGGCCTGGAAAAATACATAGTTTGAGATTATAGCTATGCAGCCAGGCAGTGGTGGCGCACACCTTTAAACCCAACACTCAGGAGGCAGAGGCAGGTGGATCTCTGTGAGTTCAAGGCCATGGTCTACAGAAGATAGACTCCAAAGCTATACAAAGAAACCCTGTCTCAAAAAAAAAAAGATTATAGCTATGCATTGGTTTAGGTTATAAAGGCAGATTACATGGGAAGTCCAAGGCAAGTAGTGTTACATTGTCCTCTTGAGGGCAGGTTAAACAGGCTGAGGCTGAGTGAGTATAGAGGGACAGCACTCTTAAGCCTTAAGTGACCTTAAGGTGTGAGATCCAGAAAAAGTTCCTGTTTTTAGGATGTAAGAGGCATTTTTAGCATAATGCATGGCTACAGCCACAGCTCCACCTCAACAGAGCCTGATGAGAGGCCCTGAGCCAAAACTACCCAGACAAGCCACTACAGATTCCTGATTACAGATTTGAGACAGTGTATGCAGCTTAGGCTGTTAAAGGGATGGGAATTTTGTTACACAGCATCTGATGACTAATACATGCTTTACACCGATTCCATTCTCACCATGACCACATGAGTAGAAATGACTGTCCTAACTCTGGAGTTAGGCATTGTGAGCTGCTGAGCAAGATGAGACTTGAACTCGGATCCTCCGGAAGAGCAACCAGTGTTCTTAACTGCCATCTTTCTAGCCTCAAAGGTGTTTGGTTTGGACTCACAGTGTGAGGGGCCACAGTTAGTCATGGTGGAGAAGGCGTGGCCTCTGAAGTGGGCGTGGCCTCTGGAATGTGAGGCTGCTGGCTATTGCCTCACTAGTTAGGAATCAAAAAGAACTAAACACTGGTTCTTGGCTCATTTCCTCCTTTTTTATTCTGTTTAGGAGCCCAGCTCATGGGATGCTGCTACCCACATTCTGGGTTGGTCTTGTCTCTTCCTTAAACCTTTCTGAAACTTCTACAGACAAGTTATGTGTCAATGATGAATCTCACTACAATTAAATTGACAATGAAGATTGACTATAATGGCCACCTTACTGTCCTCCATATGGGTTTCCTTCAAGTGAACAATGGGTGACAATTCTTTTTTCTTTTGTTTGGGAGCTGTGTTTTCATGTGTGTCTGTTTCCTTTTATTTAATTTTTTTATTAATGCTTTGTTTTCTCACCAACTTCCATGGGTTTTATATTTTTTTACATTGTATTTTGTGTGTGTGTGTGTGTGTAGGCATGCACACCACAGCAGACATGTGCAGATCAGGATAACTTGAGGGACTCAGTTCTCCACTCCTACCATCTAAGTCCCAGATATTGAATTCAGACAAGCAAACTTAGCAGCAAACATCTTTATCCACAGAGCCATCTTGCTAGCTCAAGATTTCTCAAACCTAGAAAGACATATGGTTCCCATATGAGGTTGGGGGGAGGTGAAGGGACAGTTAGGTGGTATTGATTACATAGCAGGTGCCAAGTGAACCCCCTCCCCCACAAAGGTACAGTAGATTCTGAGTGGGAAGGGAGACCGGACATCAGCCCTTGGCAGGCTCCAATCTCAGTACCCTCTGCTCCACAGCCAATTAGAACATCAGCCACCAAGCCAAACTGGATTCTTCTCTCAAAAATAAGCCATCAGTGGCATCTTTCCACTGCAGTTGCTTATTTTTAAAATACGGGGGAAATGCTGACTGGATAAATATCTCTGTCAGACTGAGGGCTTTAAAAAAAAAAAAAAGCATTTAATTCAAGCTGGCATCCCAGATGGAATGTAAATCTGCTTTAGAGCAAAGCTGATGGTCAAGTAGGAGACGCTGCAGCCCAAGTATCTAGTCTAAGTGCATCATACAACCAATCCATCAACCAGAAATAAAAAAAAAAAATAGCACGCAACAGATGTACTTCAGCAAAAAAGAAAGGAAAAAAAACAGGCGAGCCTGTCTCACTCCTGCTTCTGGTCTACATAAAGAAGTCTGCTTTGTTAGCACTTCCTCAGAAGCCCCATTGCAAAGTCTTCCAAAAGTCTGTCACCTGCTTCTTCATTTCCCTCTGAGGTGCTATCATTGCTAACCTAGTCTCTCAAGTTGTTTCAAATCATCAAGAAATAAACAAAAAACAAAACAAAACAAAAAAACAGGAAAAGATGATGGTGGAGTATCTCGGAGTGTCTAGGATGTGGCATTATCATCTGGCCTTGCAGTTTTGAAACAAAGCAACAACCAAAATGCATGAGGTGATCTCCACCACCAGCTGCACTGAAATTTAAACAAGTGTGTTGGGAGATGTACCCAGAAGCCTTGATCTAAGGCACTGCCGTGGATTAAAGATGCTCCAAAATCTGGCCACCATGGGCGGTGTATCCATGCCTGCCTGTTGAATCACGGTGGACCAAAGGAGAGAGGTAGAAACAGTAATATCCCAGCACAGCCTTAAAGAGACTGACAGCTCCCAGTATCTGGGTGCCCAATACTACCCTGTGTGGAAACCCCATGGAGAGAGAAGCCCACAAGAACAGGAGTAAGATGCCTAGCCAAGCTGCCAGCCAGTGCCACAGCAGCCCTGTGAGCGAACTACATGAAAACAGGTCCTCTGGCTCACCTGACTATCACTAGGGAAGCATTTGGCAAACCTCTATCTCCAAAAATATTTACATTGCAATGCATAACAGTAGTGAAATTACAGTCATGAAATAGCAAGAAAATAATTTTATGGCCGGGAGTCACCACAGTATTAGGAAGATCGAGAATCATGTAGAACAGAGAGTCTCTGCAGGTACCAAATATTACCCAAATTTCAGTCTCTCTATCTCCCTCCCCCTACAATCCCAGCATCTGGGAGGCTGAACATAAAGATCACAAGTTCAAAGCCATCCTGGGCTACACAGTAAGATCCTTTCTCAAAAATATTTCTAAAACATAAAAAATAATGATAAAAAATATGGATTAAGGATATGGCTTAGATCACCCTACATGTGGAGTGGGTGTGGGTGGGAGAGGAGGGGGGGCATGGGAGAGTGGGAGAAGGGAAGGAGGGAGGGAGGGTAGGAGAGGGAACTGGGATCGATATGTAAAATAATAATAAAAAATTTTAAAAAAAGATGTGGCTTAGTTAGAAAGAGTGCCAGCTTGACATGCAGGAGATCCCAGCCCCACATAATCCAGGCTTGTTGGCACCAGAAGTTCAAAGTCACCCTCCACTATGCAGTCTATCTGAAGCCAGCCAGCCTGGGCCACATGA